ACTTGTTACCAGCTGAGCACTTTAACCACTAAACTCAGACCCCATTGCCAGTAAGCTGATTCTGACTCCTATCAGATTCCAAAGACTAAATCTTTACACAAGCAAGCTGACACATCTTTCTCCCATAGAGCACCTATTGCCTTTTAGCAACCCAACCCAGTTCTTAACCCACTGTACCAACAGGAGGGGAAAAAAGGCGCCCTTACAAGATTCTCTGTAAAGATACGTGTTTTGTAGGCATAACGATCAAGCACAGCCTCCAGAAAACCACCTGCTGTAGAGACTACAGGCAGCCACTTTCAGTAACAGCAGGAATCTTTTCTTGTTACTGCTGAATGTATATATTAAAACTTTTAAGTTATTGTCTGTTTGATCCCATATCCAAAGCATCTGCGGCATGGCCTGGTGGTTCTTGTTCACGGTGGTTCCTGATGTTATGTATGGAACTGACTCAGTGCTGACCCTCCAGTGGGTTTTCAGAGGCAGTAAATCACATGGGAGGAGATTTGCCATCTCCCTCAGAGTAGATGGTGGAGTTGAACTTCATGCTCTAGGTTGGCAGCACAACTCCTTCCTACTAAGCTGCCAGAGCAGTTGGTTACTATGTCCCACAATACTCCGTGGGTTTCCTGAAGCTATAAATCTTTATGTGAGAAGACTGCCCAACGTTTTTCCACCGATCAGCTGGTGGATTCAAACTGCTGACCTTTTGTGTCCAATATGTTACACACTATACCACCAGAGAAGTTCTGGTGGCTTAGTGGTAAGAAGCTGCGCTGTCATCACAAAGGCATGGGGTTTGAATCCACCGGGTGCTCCTCAGGAGAAGGATGGGCAGTCTCATCCCATACAGTTTACCGCCTCTGAAAACCCACTAGAGGATCAGCTAGGAGCCAGTCCCAGCTTGACAGTACAAAACGACAGCAACATTATACTTCCAGGGCACATTTTACCCCACAGAGATCTTAAAAAGAGGGCAATGCTCAAGGCAGACAGTCTACTAAAAACAGAAGCCAAACCCACTGCTCCATGGTGAGCCTCCATCAGCTTTCTGACACCGTAAGCCTTAACAAGGGAGCTCTAGTGGCTTAATGATTAAGGAATTGAGCTGCCAACACAAAGGCACACAGTTTGAATTCACTAGCTGCTCCAGGGGAGAAAGATGGGCCATCTTCTCCCATACAGATTACTGCCTCTGAAAACTCACTAGAGGGTCAACTATGAATCGATTCCAACTCACAGGTGCACAGCAACAGATCTTCACAGTAGTAGACTGCCTCATTTTTCTCCATAAAGTGGCTGGTAGATTTCAACCACTAACCTTTTGATTCGCAGTCCAACATGTTAAACACTATGCCACCAGGTTCCCTTTGATCCCATATGTTGTTGTTTTAGGTGCCATCAAGTGGGCCACGACCCACAGAGACAGTATGAATAGCAGGTCTGTACCCTTTCCTGTCCTGTGCCATCCTTATCTCTGACATACTTGAGTCCATTGTTACAGTCACTGTGTCAATTCATCTTTCTGAGCGTCTTCACTTCCAATGACCGTCTACCTTACCAGACATGATGCCTTCTCCGAAGCACTAGCTTCTCCTTACAGCTTATCCAAAATATGTGAGATGAGTTTCACCGTCCTTGCCTTTAAGGAGCACTTTCTTCAAGACATGGGATTTTCAGTATTCTTCTCCAACACCACAACTCAAAGACATCAATTCTTCTATCCTTATTCATAATGTTGTTGTGTGCTTTTGAGCTGGAACTGACCCACAGCTGAGAGTTCATTTATATAAATCTTAACAGAAACTCAATGTTCAAGGCAGACACACCTTTTACTACTTAAACCAAACTATTATTCTGTTTTAAGATGCCTTCAGGTTATGTTTGTGTGTTTGTTTGTGGCTTAAATATCTCAAAATAATAGTTTTGGGCTTGTTCTGTTGTCAGTAGCTCCAGAAAGTGTAGATTCCAATAGCCTAGTGGCAAGAAACTACCCTACAATCCCAAAGGCATGCAGTTTGAGGCCATCTGCTGCTCTGCAGGATAAGGATGGGTGATCTCCCCATGCAAATAACTGTCTCTGAAAACCCGCCACACGGTCAACTATGGGTCAGTTCTTCCTTTACAGTACTCACCAGTATTCTGAATTTCCTCCCTTTTGATCTAGATTCTGCTGTAGACTCATCAAAATGTTCAGGAGTAGGGAAAAAAAGCACTATTACTAGTCCTGACATTGTGACAGAGGAGCCAGAATTCATGGATTGCCCAAGAATGTCCACTTACTATTCCATTATCCACTAGTAAGGGTCCTTGACAAGTTTGCCCTATCTCTAGTCCACAGATGAAACTAGCCCGGACTAGGTAAATGTCTCCATTGTTTAGTGCTGTGGTAACCAAGATACAACAAGTAGATGGCTTTAATAAACAGTTGTGGGGTGGGGTTCTTTTTACATTTTAGGAGGCTAGAACGCCAAATTCCAAGTGCCAGCTCTAGGGGAGGCTATCTGTGTTGGTTGGTTGTGGAAGAAGGTCCTTGTTTCCTTCAGCTTCTGTCGACCAGGAGTTCTTTGGAGACTTCCATCTGTCCTGGCCTTCCCTGGTGTCAAGGAGCTACCTCAAGCAGGGACCTGTGTCCAAAAGGACCCACTCTACTCCTGGAAATTCTTTTTTAGTGATAACTGAGGTGCCCTTTTATGCAGTTCACTTTACTCCTATTTTCCTAATCTTACAGACTAAACCCTAGAGAAACTTCCCTTACTCTGATGGGAGAGAGCAGTGTTTCATTCCACCCTTAATGGTTGATCCAAGATAACTGGGTCACCAGCAGTGGTCCCATGGGAAAAAAAGAGTCCCATGAGGCTTGAAGCCTAGGAAATCCCACAAGGCAGTTCTACCCTGTAGAACAAGGGGTCACTGTGAGTTGGAGTGGACTCAGTAGCATAAAAGGCCACGCACACTCCTTGGCTCATGCCCCCCTCTTCAGTTTTCAAAGCTGGTAACACCACATCTCTGAACCAGCTTCCACTATTCTTTGGTTCTCTTCTGTTCCCCTCTTTCTCCTTTAATAACTTGACTTGGCCCAAGATAATCTGATGAAAACCCATAAACCCATTGCTTTCAAGGTGAATTCTGACCTAACAAGACAAAGTAGAAGTGCCCCAAAAAAGCAGAAACTGTTAACTGAGAAGTTGATGGGTTCCTTTCAATTAACATCCCCGTGCTTAAGCACTGTCCTCTAGGGCCCTACAATTTATATTAGATATTAACAGTCTTCTTGTTGTTGTTAGATGTCCTTAAATAAGTTTTCAACTCCTAAAGACCTAACGTGACTGAGAACCTCACCGCTCCAGATGGTGTCCAGTTCTGTAATCCAGTGCTGGATGGAAGTACACTACCTTATCTTTCTCCTGCAGAGTCGCTGGTTGGGTTCAAAACCCAAATGCTTAGTTGCTGTGCCACCAAAGCTCCAGTCTCCTGACACCAAACCCAGCCCACTGCCGTAAACTCACTTTGGACTCAGGTTTCTGAGGGCTGTAAACCTTTACAGGAAGACACTATCCCACTTTGCGCCCTAGCAGAGCTGGTGGATTCGAACCACTGACCTTTTGAGAAATAGCCCAGTAGGTAAATGAGTGCACAATGCCACTGGGGCCCTGATAAACAACCTGAATTCTGTCTGCTGTGTTCCCCTCTTGGCCAGGGGAGTAGAACACTGTCAAGATCCAAGGACTAGGACAGGATGTCTTTGACAGGTCGATATTCTGCCTCAGTCACATCTCATAGTTCATTTACAAGGGGCTCCTGCCAGATCTTCATGGTGGTGTGTCATCAGTCAAGGTTTGCACTGAGCCATCTCTATGCTCTCGTTTCCTTGGTAACAAAATTGAGGACCTCTGAGTCATTGAGACCTCACTGAAATCACCCTCTGTCCTACACACAGGGTGCCTGTGGATCAGACCCAGCAGACAGTGTGGTTCTATTTTTAACTGACTTTACCCACTGCCAGCTCACACATTGGGTAACTGGGGCGAGCAGTGTCCCACCAGGTTTCTGAGGCAGTAAAGGGAAGAAGCTGCCTCTTTCTCCAGAAGAGTGGTCAGGAATTTCAAACTGCCAGCACATAACTCACTACCGCACTAAAGGACGGCTGAGCCTTCAGGGGGCTTTGAGAGGCAGTAAGTCCCACAGGAGGAGGCTGCTGCCCGTCCATAGGGTTTTCAGAGGCAGTAAGTCACACAGGAGGAGATTGCCTGTCTTCCCACACAGAGCAACTGGTGGATTTGAACTGTGTGTCTTTGGAATTGCAGCCCACTTTTTACCACTAGGTTCCCTAGCTGACTCTGTCGTTGTTATTGTTGTTAGATGCCATCGAGTCAAGTACAGCTCACAATGACCCTATGAACAATGGATCTGAGCTCTGCCCTATCCCGTGCCACTCTCATAATCTCTGACACTAGGGCATTCTAATTTGCAGTCATCCCTGGATGACACAAATGGGGTTGCTTTCAGCTACAAATCTAAAGGTTGGCAGTTTAAACCCATCCTTTGGGTGGTGTTGTGGAACAAAGGCCTTGAGGTTGTCTCCCATAAAGATTCCAAAAAAATAAAAAAATGCTAAGAGCACAGCCCCTGCTTTGCACCACTTAGGCTCCAGGTCAGCAGGAACTCACAGGGTTAATGCATTAGTCACCCCAGCACCCTCTGGAAAAGACTGATATTTTGCAAACTTCACAGATGAGGAAAGTGAGGCTGAAGGGGAGAGGGTGAACCAGAGCTTCCAGGAGAGGTGCAGGCAGAGCAGAATCCCCGCAGGTTTCTCCTGTTGGGGTCCATGTCTTCTCAGCCTGCTGACTCTCACTGTCCAGCCTCCATCCTCACTGGCTGGATCTTGCCTCCTTGCATAGGAAGGAGGCACAAGGACCCGAGGTGCCTGCCAGAGAGGAGGACGAAAGGAGCTGAAAGCCATAGCCCTCCTGGCTTGTGGGCAGCCCAGCCCCAGGATGTCCCTGCCAGAGTCCAGCGAGCAGGAGAGCCAAAGCCAGGAACCCACCCGCGAGCCCAGGATGGATGTTGTCCCCGCAGTCCCTCCAATACCCAAGAAATTCTCCAAGCTCGTCCTGCTCACGGCCTCCAAAGATAGTGCCAAAGTGACCGGGGCCAAGCGCAAAGGGGTGCACTGTATCATGTCCCTGGGAATTCCAGGTCCAGCCACCCTTGCCAAGGCCCTCCTCAAGATCCACCCAGAGGCCCAGCGGGCCATCGAAGCTGCGCCCCAGGAGCCTGAACCCCAGGAACCCGAGATGAAACGCAGCCGGCCAGACACAGGTGAGAATGGGCATGGACAACAGCAGGACGTATTATAAAGCCTTCTCCTCTACAGAACCCTGCGGACAGTTCTGAGCACCCTAGAACTGAGATAGGGAGCACTAGGTAGCAACAAGGGCTGTGGCTCTCTTGGGAGGAAGGCTAGGGAGGCTCTGACTACTGCAGGTCGGATTTATGGACTTAACGGACTCAAACAGGGAGCCCTGGTGGTGTAGTGGATTAAATATGGGTCTGCTAGCAAAAAAGATCAGAGGTTTGAATTCTCCACTTGCTTTGTGGGAGAAAGGTGGGACAGTTGGCTTCCACAAAGATGTAATATAGCCTTGGAAACTAGGAGACAGCTCTCTGCCCTCCAGGGTCACTGAGTCTACTTGACAAATGGCAGTGGAAATGACAAGGCAAACGCGCTGAGGTCTCTCATTTTGGAATGATTGTGCAGGAACACATGGGGCGAGCTGGGGCACTGCAGCTCTGCTCCCCAGTTCCTTGGCTCTACCCTTGCCCTGTGGTGCTTAGCCTTGACCTAGCTCTGGGCCAGGGTCGGGTGGATGGGGACAGGGAACAGTGCTCAGGTACTGACAGTACTGACAGGCCACTCCTGCTCTAGCGCCTCTGGGGTCCATCAGATTCTTCTCGCCTGAAGTTTGGTGGTTTGAACCCACCAGCCACTGGGAAGATGAGGCGGTCCTCTCCTGTAAAGATGACAGCGTGGAAAGGCGTGGGGCACGGGCTCCAGGGAGCCAGAATCTATTGGCTGCCTCTAGATTGGTGGGTGTTCCCTGGAGTCAACATTGACCCCATATCAAGCGGAGGTTCTTTCGCAGAGCTTCCTGGCACTGGGTGGACTCCAGGACCCTGTTTTGATGGTTTCCTTGATGGCAGGCTGACTCAACTTCTCTTGCAGATGCAGAAGAGCGAGGTGATGGAAGATTAACAGAGTCTGCGCCTCCACATCCCGGGGTGGAAGGGGAGGAGCCTGCGCCCTTCGCTGGCGAAGCTTACAACGACACAGCTGCCCCGGGTTCAGCACGTCCCTGCGACCTAGACAATTGCGCCAGGACTGCGTCAGCGTGGGCAGGGCCCGAGTGAGACCTTCCGGGAGGGTCTAGAGCCCGGCACCGGCAGAGTCTCACTTTCAGCATTGTGTAATTGATATCTTGTTTTGTTTTGATTTTGAGTTTTGAATCAAGCAGCAACACTAACGTTTTTATAAACACTTCCCACACACACACCCCGAAAAGAGATTAAAATGATGTACACTAGCCAGAGCTCATCATGGATAGGTTTAAATTCGGGGTCCAGCTCTCACCCACCTCCTTAACCATCCTTAGGAATCCTCCCTATCTGGTCCTTCCAACCTGAACCTTTTTCTACATATGTGGTCCTCGTTCTTTGAAAACTTTGCCTCAATATAAGAAAAGAAATTGGTTTTGAAATGTGGAGCTTGGGGCACATTTCACCGTTCCTCTCCCCCGCCCCCATTATTTGGTAATATTTTTACAATATGATGGTTGTGACATTTACATTAACTCTTTTGTGAGTGTCATGGGGTGTGTTCTTTTGTCTTTGTTGTCTATAAAATGGATTCCACTTTCCCACTGCAGCCTTGACTGCCCTAAACCTAAGTCACTGTGGGTGATGGAAACGAGGGCAGGGCAGGAGGTAAACTGTGGCTTTAGGCTCAGCGCATCAGGCCCCAGGAGTCTCCAGACAGTCCCGCTTCAGGTGGTGATAGGGGTCGAACAGAGGTCCAGAATGCACCCACCAAGGTCGCCTGAGTTTTGCTCTGACACTGTCAACCCCTCCAGCTGTAGCTGGAAAGGCACAGTCGCTGGGCCCCAGCCTGAATAGAGTAGGGATGGTCCCAATGATGTGGACACAGGTGCCCCAGAGCCCAACAGGAATGTAGCAAGGGAGGGACTTCCCTGGTGGGGCCTGAGTGGGTGACTGATGCCTGACAGTCTTCCTACAGAGTTCTCAGCCAAGCCAGGAGCCCACACCCTGGAGATCTGACCCAGCCACCATGACTATTCTTGGCTTACTCGTGGCCTAAAACTGTCCATATTCACACAAAAGTCAAAGAAGCGATGCAGTGAACATTATGGATTGCCAAGGGAGATAGCAAGCCCGCCTGTCTTCTCTCCCACTTTCTCTCAGACCCCTCCTCCCCTTTGACCGAATTCCGAGTGAATAAAATCCTCCATCCGCATACCTACCCATCAATTTATCCACAACCTGCCTCCCTCCCTCTTGCCATGAGTTTAAGAACAGTATCATTGATAAAGTGATGCCTTCCAGCACAGTAGTCCCCAGCATAGAGCAGAAAGGACCCTTTCTTTCCCAACCAGGGCTTCTTTTTGTGCCTACAGCTAGTCTTGAAGCTGTGAGCTGCTAAGCAAAAGACAGCTCGGATGTACCAGGTACTCAAAGGGAGAAAGATGTAGCCATCTCCTTCAGTAAGATTTACAATCCTGGAAATCCTGTATGTCCTAGTATTGCTGTGTGCTGTCTAGTCAGATACAACTCATAGTGACCCTATGAACAATAGCTCTGAACTCTTCCCTATCCTTAGCCAATCTCACTGTCCCAACACACCTGCCCTTATTATCCCAGTCACTGTGTCAATTCATCTCATCCCAGGTCTTTCTCTCCTACACTGACCCTTCACCCTTCCAAGCATGATGTCATTCTCCAAGGACTGGTGAACATGCCCAAAGTATGTGAGATAGAGTTTTACAATTCTTGCTCCAAAGAGCAACATGGTTTCACCCTTTCCAGGACAGACCTGTTTTTTCTTTTGGCAATCCGTAGTATGTTCAATACTCTTCTTCAGCACCATAACTCAAAGGCATCAATTCTTTTTCTGTCATCCATAGTCATTGTCGAGTTCTCTGATGCATAGCAAGTAATTGCAAAGCCCACACCTGGATCAGGTGCACCTTAGTCTCTTGACTGAGATCATTGCTCTTCAACACTCTGGAAAATATCCTGACAACAGATTTTCCTAATGCAATTTATCTTTTCATTTCCTGCCTGCTGGTGCCAAGAGTGTTCCTGGTGGAACATCCAGCAGGATGAAATTGTTAACGATATCATTTTTCCAGTTTTCTTTGTTTTTAGCCAAGATTAAGCTGAATATCAGCCCTGATATCCCTGTTCCACAGCCTCTTCTGAATTCAGCTTGAATTTCTGGCAGTTTCCTGCTTAATAATCTTCAGCAAGAGTTTGCTTGCATGTGATACTACTGTTATTGCTTCATCATTTCCACAGTATTTTAGATCACTTTTTTGGAGATTGGGAACAAATATGAATCTCTTCAAGTCAGTTGGCCAGGTAGTTGCTGTCTTCCACATTTCTTGGGATAGACTGGTGAGCATGTCTAGGGCTGCATCTATTTATTGAAACATAACCGTTGGTATTCCATCAATTCCTGGGGTCTTATTTTATTTGCCAATGCCTTCACTGCAGCTTGGATATCTTCCTTCATTACCACAAGTTCTTCATCATATGCTAGTTCTTGAAATAGTTCTGTGTCAATCTTTTCTTTGGGTACAGTGACACTCACTGTATATTCCTTCCACTTACTTTTGATGCTTACTGCATCATTCAAGATTTTGCCCGTAACATCCTTCAAGATTACAACTCAAAGCTTGAATTTGTTCTTCAGTTTTTTCAGCTTGAGAAATGCTCAAGTGTTCTTCCCTTTTTGTTTTCTCACTCCAATTCTTTATACATTTCATTATAATACTTTGCTTTGCCTTTTCTTTGAAATCTGTTAATCTCTCTTACTTCAACATTTATTTCTTTTGTTTTAGCCCCTGTATATTCTACTGCAAATTTCAGAGTCTTTTCTGACATTAATTTTGGTCTTTTATTCCCCCTTTCCTGTCTTGTTCTTTCTTCATGAATGATGTCTTTGATGTTGTCTTACAACTCATCTGGTCTCAGTGTTCAGTGCATCAAATCTATTCTTGAGATTTTTTTTTTTAAATTCAGTTGGGATAGACTTAAGGTTGTATTTTGGTCCTCATGGGCTTCTTTCCATTTCCTTTAACTTAATTTTGAACATGCACATGAATAAATAATGGTTTGTTCCACAGTCACCCACTGGTCTTGTTTTGACTACTGATATTGAGCTTTCCCATTGACTATTTCCAAAGTCATAGTCAATCTGATTTCTGTGTAGTTCATCAGATGAAGTCCATGTCAATATATTTCTATTTTTTTAAAAAAAAGGTATTTTCCATTAGCAAACAAATGGACAGAGAAGCTGTGCTATATTCTCACAATGGAATACTGTGCTGCATTGAAAAACAAGGATCTCATGAAATATAATACTAAATGGGTGACCCTGGAGGACATTATGTTGAGAGAATTATCTCAGTCACAAAAGGACAAATACTGCATAATGCCACTGTTATAAAACAGGACTGATGTGGAGGTTGGGGGTAAACTAAGAAAAGGGGATAAATAATGTACACTGCATTGAAACAGACGAGGAATAGAACTGCTTATAGCGAATATATGATTAGGTATTATTTGCATGACAACAGTTCAGAATAAGAGCCACATAGTAAGTTGACTGAGGGCAGGGAGAATTGTATAACAATGAAAGAATTATTTTTCAAAGAGAAAAGTGAACTGGGGCAGGTGCGCAGTGAGGAAACTGTGCAACGAATGACTGAAAATCCAAGTTCTCTATAAACTTTCATTAAAATATCAATTAAAAAATAATATACCTTTTAAAAAAGTATTTGCAATTAAAAAGATTGAGTATATGAAATCTTACTGAGTCAGTAACCTCATTTTTGTCACAAAGTCTGTATTTTCCCACAACCAGTACTGCTTCTTTGTCCCCAGCCTTTGTGTTCTTATCCTCTTGATTGTATGTTCGATCACTTTCAGATTGCAAGCTGGTAGAGATCCTTAATTCATCATTTTAGGTTTTAGTGGTTGATACATATATTTGAATAACAGTTGTATCCAAAGGTCTTCCCTGTATTCATATGGATCGTATCCTATCTCTCAAACACTGTATTTAAGGGTCAACCTTGCAATGCTTTTTTTATTTATGAATGCAACACCATCCCTCTTCAATCTGTCATTCCCAGCAAAATAGGTCATCTGATTAATCTGATTAAAACGGCCAATACCAGTCCACCTCAGTTGATTAATGCCTAGATGTCAATATTTATGTGTTCCATTTAATTTTGTTTATTGCTGCTGTTTTGTTTTGTTTTTTTTATTTAAATAGCATTCAGTTTATTACAAATATTTAGTATTGGCTTCCCATATTTCCCCCCTTTAGCTTTTATCATAATTATGTTATCATCTAGATGAGCATCCTTTATATACAAACAAACAAATTAAACATAATAAACTCAAAGAGAGAGAGATTCACAGTTTATACATTCCATGTTCCAGTCATTAATGGATGTTTGCAACTGTTTCTCTTCACTTTTTTCACTTCCAACCAGAGTGATCATCTACTAGCACTATATCCAACAATATTTCTTTATTATTCATCAGGATTTCGAAGGCCTGTTTTTCTTAAAGGGACAGCCAGTCCTGCTTCTTAGTGACTTCTTGGTATTTGAAAACTTCAAGCATCACAGCAACAGGCAAATTACCTTAGTATGGCCAACTGACAGACAAGTGCCTGACACTCAGAGGCAAACTAGAACATAAACATGCATATAAGCATCACAGAACAAATGTGCATGCTATCAGAAATAGAAGTTATCTGGCCTGGGACAGCCCAAAAGAAGATTGGAGTTAGGTGTCCAGTCAGATCAGAGTTTCTGCTCATCTGAGTGGTAATGGAGGGCCCAAGATGTGACCTAGGTCACAGACAGAACTTGTTTGTTCTAAGGTGTGTCAAGGATGTGTGGAGGGATGAGGCACCCTGCCTGGGCCAGAGTTCCGGCTGACCTCCAAAAGCCTTGGCTAGGCACCCTGGCTAGAAATGGTGTCTTTGCCAGGCTAGAGGGATGGTACAGGCAGGGTACCTTGTGAGCTGGCTAGAGTGAAGACACAATCACTGCCAATACATGTCTATGATGAGATAAGAAGCAAACTTCATTTTAAGC